AAGTGCCTTTAGAATGATTTTCGATTTTCAGTCCATAGTTTACATTTCATCATATTTTATTAGAGATTGTAAAGTTCATATTAATATATTATATTTCGACAATTTAATACTTCCGTTATATATTTAGCAAATTCCGGCCATTCACTTGGTCAAACTAGTACCACACTTAATTAATTTAATTTTCTGATAATTTAATTAATATATGCTAATTTAATTAATAAGCCTAATTTATTTATTAAAATTAAGCTTATACTTAATTTTCTTAGATATTAAAAATAACAAACATAATTAATTTAATTTTGTATTTGGTTATTCTACATAACTTAACAAAAATTAGTCGAACGAACAAAAAGACATAAATATCCAGCCCAATCCCCATTACTAAAGGAAATAATACCAGAGTCCAAGTCCTGGACTCCTGCATATTCGGGGTAAGTTGGTCATTTTGGGGATGGGATCGGATTCATAACTTGAATTTTTTTTTTTTTTTTTTTAAGAGGGGGATCAGATTTGTTGATAAACCGATTTACATCATTATAATATCCCATCCCCAAAAATTATGAGGATTATACAATGTTAAATTTGTACTCACTCCGTCCCAAGATAATTAGTGCTTTATACGACATCTCTATAGTAATATTTCTTATCTGATTTCCCTAAAACATACTATCTCCGTCCCAAAAAAAAGTCCACATTGAGTTTGCAAATTTGTAGTAAAAACAGTACAAAACCCAAAACTCAATGTAGACTATGTTTTTGGGACGGAGGGAGTACTACATTTTATACATAATGACGGAGTGACATATATACAACAAAAATGTTACTAATATAAATTGAAATTGTGCAATGTTTAATGTCAATGTGTATTGTTATTTTAATTTCCTTTAGATACATTTTTGATTTTCAGTCCATATTTTACATTTCATCATAATTTATTAGAGATTGTAAATTTTATATTAATGTATTATATTTCGGCAATTTAATACTTCAGTAATATATTTAGCAAATCCCGGCCATTCACTTGGTGAAACTAGTACCGCTCATAATTAATTTAATTTTCTTGTAATTTAATTAATATATGCTAATTTAATTAATAAGCCTAATTTATTTATTAAAATTAATCATAATTTAATTTTTTTAGAAATTAAATAACAAACATAATTAATTTAATTTTGTATTTGGTTATTGTACATAACTTAACAAAAATCAGTCGAACGAACAAAAAGACATAATTATCCTATCTAATCTCTTTTACTAAAGTTAATAATACTGGAGTCCAAGTCCTGGACTCCTGCCTATTCGGGGTAATTTTGTCATTTTGGCGATAGGATCGGATTTGTAACTTGAATTTTTTTTTTTTTTGTGAAGAGGGGTATCGGATATGTTGATAAACATATTTACATCTTTATAATATCCCATCCCCAAAATATTATGATACTTATACAATGTTAAATTTTTACTCACTCCGTCCAGAGATAATTAGTGCCTTATACGATATCTCTTTAGTAATATTTCTTTATTTGATTTCCTTAAAAGATACTATCTCCAACCCAAAAAAAATAATCCACATTGAGTTTACAAATTTTCAGTAAAAACAGTACAAAATCCAAAACTCAATATGGACTGTGTTTTTTTGGGACGGAGGGAGTACTACATTTTATACATAATGAGGGAGTGACATATATAAAACAAAAATATTACTATTATAAATTGAAAAGGTGCAATGTTTAATGTCAATGTGTATTGTTATTTTAAGTACCTTTAGAATGATTTTCGATTTTCAGTCCATATTTTACATTTTATCATAATTTATTAGAGATTGTAAATTTCATATTAATGTATTATACTTCGGCAATTGAATACTTCCGTAATTTATTTAGCAAATTCCGGCCATTCACATGGTCAAACTATTACAACACTTAATTAATTTAATTTTTTGGTAATTTAATTAATAAGCCTAATTTATTTATTAAAATTAAGCTTATACTTAATTTTCTTAGATATTAAAAATAACAAACATAATTAATTTAATTTTGTATTTGGTTATTCTACATAACTTAACAAAAATTAGTCGAACGAACAAAAAGACATAAATATCCAGTCCAATCCCCTTTACTAAAGGTAATAATACCGGAGTCCAAGTCCTGGACTCATGTATATTCGTGGTAATTTGGTCATTTTGGCGATGGGATCGGATTCGTAACCTGAATTGTTTTCTTTTTTTTGAAGAGGGGGATCAGATTTGTTGATAAACCGATTTACATCATTATAATATCCCATCCCCAAAAATTATGATGATTATACAATGTTAAATTTATACTCACTCCGTCCCAAGAATATAGTCCATATTGAGTTTGCAAATTTGTAGTAAAAATAGTATAAAATCTAAAACTCATTGTGGACTATGTTTTTGGGAGGGAGGGAGTACTACATTTTATACACAATGACGAAGTTACATATATATAAAAAAAATATTACTAATATAAATTGAAATTGTGCAATGTTTAATGTCAATGTGTTTTGTTATTTTAAGTACCTTTAGAATGATTTTCGATTTTTAGTCCATATTATACATTTCATCATAATTTATTAGAGATTGTAAATTTCATATTAATGTATTATATTTCGGCAATTTAATACTTCCGTTATATATTTAGCGAATTCCGGCCATTCACTAGGTCAAACTAGTACCACATTTAATTAATTTAATTTTTGGTAATTTAATTAATATATGCTAATTTAATTAATAAGCCTAATTTATTTATTACAATTAAGCATACATTTAATTTTTTTTAGATATTAAAATAACAAAAATAATTTATTTAATTTTGTATTTGTTATTCTACATAACTTAACAAAGATAAGTCGAGCGAACAAATAGACATAAATATCCAGTCCAATCCCTTTACTAAAGGTAATAATACTGGAGTCCTTGTCCTAGACTCCAGCCTATTTGCGGTAATTTGGTCATTTTGGCGATGGGATCGGATTTTTTACTTGATTTTTTTTTTGTGCATAGGGGTATCGAATTTGTTGATAAACCAATTTACATCTTTATAATATCCCATCCCAAAAAATTATGATGCTTATACAATGTTTAATTTTTACTCATTCCGTCCCAAGATAATTAGTGATTTATGCGACATCTGTATAGTAATATTTCTTTATTTGATTTCCCTAAAAGATACTATCTTCGTCCCAAAAAATAGTCCACATTGAGTTTGCAAATCTGTATTTAAAATAGTACAAAACCCAAAACTCAATGTGGACTATGTTTTTGGGACGGAGGAAGTACTACATTTTATACATAATGACGAAGTGACATATATAAAACAAAAATGTTACTAAGATAAATTGAAAATATGCAATGTTTTTTTTTTATAACTCAACAGGAAGGCAAGGGTGACTTTCAGGTTCCACCTATCTCAAAAAAACTCAAGGGGTCTATCCAGGAGGTAAATTTTTGAGGTAGGCAGTGCTATATAGTACAATGCACCCAAGGGCTCTACCCAAGGGATGGACATTCATACTATATAGTTCCCTAGCTTCACCCATCCCCGATTTTATTAAAATGTGGAAAAAAGAGAAGGCAGTGTTTATGTCTTACCCTTGTACAAAGCCATAGAACTACTTTCGTACATATGGAAAGGACAATTGATCTAATATCAAAAGTCCCTTTACAAAACGAGGCAGTGATACAAAACAATTGTAAGCAATAGATACTCCACTTGATGCTTGTTTAGCTAAAAAATCTGCAACTGCATTGCCTTCTCTGTAGATATAAGAGACCAAGAAATTATTCCTTGAAATGATAGAGCACATCTCTGTCAACTCCAAGTAAAAATGCCATGGAAATCCTCTCTTCTCATTCAAAATACAAGACAGAGAATGATTATCGGTTTGTACCCTAACATTTGAAAGTTGTAGGAGCTCGCACCTGCGAAGTCCAAATAGAATACCAAAGACTTCTGCTTGGAAAAAATCTCCTCACCCAAATATCCACTTTCTCCATCAATGAACTTACCACCTTCTCCTCGGATGACAAAACCATAACCAGCCCCATTAGCATTAGATGAGCCATCCAAATTCAAAACAAAATAGTTCGAATTCGGGGGAATCCATCTCACTATTTTAGGATGCCTTTTATTAGCTCGAGTCAAGTGAAATCCAAAAAGGCTTAAAATAAAAGAATTTTCAGCTTCATCCACTACTTTTAAGCCATGAATAAAGATTAAGTCTTTAACCTGATGATGGATAAGGCGAATGACCGAGCTTATAGAAGGCTGAACTCCTTCGAAGATTGCCTTATTTCTTGCCTTCCAAACTTCCCAAAGAATAAAGATGGGGAATAAGTGATACAAAGACTTTTTTGCTGATGCGAAAGATCCATGGTGCCACCACATTTTCAATAGACCCAACAAAGTGCTATGCCACCGAACTTCTACACTCATAACAAGAGCAAAATGATCCCATATAGCTGTAATAAAATTACAACCATAAAAGCAATGATGCAACTCATCATTTTTTTTTCGACAGAGGACACACATAGAAGGCCTTGTTGATATACCAAAGGCACTAACAGTTTTAGGGAATGGAAGCAAACCATTGCGCAATCTGCAGAGGAAGAAAGAGATGCGCAAAGGAACGAACTTGTGCCACAAAGGCTTAAGCATCAAATCTGGTTGCTGCCTCCGTCGAAGTGACTCAAAGGTGGATTTTACCATAAAATGTCCTTGAGGAGTACTTTGCCAAACAAGAATATCTTCACCTTCCATAAAATCCATATCAAAACTTTCCAAGAAGGCAAAGTTTGCTGGACTAAGGGAGACCTGTAAAGCCGATAGGTACTGATCTTTATTCTCCATAAATTTTCAAATGCAAAGGTCCGGCCATGGAGGCTCATCAAAAGCATTAACCCAAAAGACACCATTAGGACCCCAATTGTCAAACCAGAAGGATCGATCTCCACTTCGTACGATAATCTTAGAGAATGATATAGCTCACTCACCAACTTTCATTACCCTAGCCCAAGAGGTCTTCTCCTTAGGTGAATGAGACAAGGAGTGTAGAAAGGCACTCCAAATGCCCTTGTTGTTCTTCAATTTCCACCATAATTTTGAAGTGAGGGCAGAGATAACATCCTGAAAACTTCTCAACCCAAGGCCATTTTCATGTACCAAAAAAGTGACTCTTTCCCAGGAGCGCCAATGCCGCTTTTTAGCCTCACTTGATCCTTCCCAAAGAAACTTTTGGCAGCGAGCTTCCATAGCCCTAATGACTGACTTCGGTGGTGGAATTACTGAGAATACATGAAGTGGCATAGAACTCAAAACATACCGAATCAACATGAGCCGGCCTCCCAGGGATAGAAACTTGTTTTTCCAATTCAGAAGCTTAGCATCCATAGCGTCCAAGAGAAATTGGAATATAGCCGCCTTTTTTCTCCCATTAAATATCCGGCAACCCAGATATGTGAAGGGAAACGCGCCATGTTGCATTCCCAATGTACCTTTGATCATGTCTATTCTTCTGGAACTACACTTCTCCGAGGCCACGAAAGAGCTTTTACCCCTACTGATTTTTTGACCTGTAACTTTTTCATATTGCTCAAAGAAAGTGTTTAGCCTTCGTAGAGATCTTTGAGTCCCCTTTGTAAAAATAATCAAATCGTCTACAAAACATAAGTGGGAGACCACAAGTGAACCAGCAGGAGATCCATAGGGAGCTATCTTACCGTCCAAAACTAGAGTTTTCAATCTTCTAGTTAAAGCCTCCGAAACTATGATGAACAAGTAAGGCGACAACGGATCCCCTTGCTTGATTCCCCGGGAGGCTTTAAAAAAACCAGTCGGACTACCATTTATCAACATAGAAAACCAACTGTTCTGGAGGTTATTCATGACTAATTTTACAAAAAGTGGTGGAAAACCAAACTTCAGTAAAATAGATTCAAGGTAGCTCCACTTAACCCTATCAAATGCTTTCATCATATCAATTTTCAAAACAATATTACCTCCCTCTGCCTTGCGATTTATGAACTGGCAAAGATCATGTGCCAACAGAACATTATCAATGATGTCCCTTCCGGAAAAAAAAGCTGACTATTCCTCAGAAATAACTTTTGGTAACACCACCTTCAAACGCTCAGTCAAAATTTTGGTAAAGATCTTATTGAGGAAATTGCAAAGACTAATTGGGCGAAAATCTGAAAAAGTACTTACAGTCTGCTTTTTTGGGAGCAAAGTAATCAGAGTGCTAGCAATAGCTCATGGAATTGGCACCCTAAGCATAAACTCTTTGCATGCGGACCAAAGATCCTCCGAGATGACATTCCAGCAACTTTGGTAAAAAACACCAGTGAATCCATCTACACCTGGAGCACTTTCTTCATTCAGATTAAAAACAGCTCCTTTGACTTCCTCTAATGAGATGGGACGCAAGAGAAGGTCATGGTCCTCAGCCCCCAAAATAACCGGGATATGTTGCAAGAAAACCTCATGCGCAGCCTCATGCGAGGATCCATAGGCTGCATCCTCACTTAAAAGATCCTCAAAGAAACCAGTAGCTTCATGCTCAATGGCATTCAAATCAGTTAGCATGATTCCTTGTCGGTCCTGAATTTTATGGATATTTTGTCTCAGCCGTTTTTCTCTTAAAGAAGCATGAAAGTAGGAGGTGTTAGCATCACCCTCTTTCAACCACTTGATTCGTGCTTTTTGTCTTAGAAAATCCTCTTGTTCTTTAAGTCTCAAAAGCAGCAAAGCCTTTGCATTATGCAGGTTCATTCTGTCTCCCTCCAAGCCAGATAGATCGTGACGCTTTTCTAAGTGTTGCACGGTTGCATCCGCTTCCTTCAAGTTGGCGGAGACATCACCAAAACACGATTTATTCCACTCTTTAAGCTTGGCTTTAAGCCTTCTCAATTTAAGAGAGAAAGCTATCATTCCAAAACCATCTATAGGCTGCTCCCAATTCTCCTCGACTACCGAAATGAACTCCGGTCTTCGCAGCCACATTTGTTGAAACCGAAAGACTCTAGGCTTGGAAACTCCTTGCACTCCAAACATATGTAGCATGGGGCTATGATCGGACGTTGTTCTACTCAAATTCTCATTGGAATTAACTTGAAAGAGATCCAACCATTCATTCGAGAAGAGGACTCTATCTAACTTTTTGCTCACCCAACCGGTTTGCCTTGTTCCACCCCAAGTAAAGTCCTCACCAACAGATGGAATCTCTAGCAAATTGCAAGCCTGAATGCACATATTGAAATCCTCTATGGCCGAATGGTCTTGCACCGAGACACCATTATATTTTTCCAAGCATCTAATAACATTAAAGTCCCCACATACCATCCAAGGAGCACCCATATTATTGCATTTAGAGCCTTCCAAACTTTGCCATAGCTCACGTCTCCCAGCCCTTGTCGATTTAGCATACACAGCCGACAATATGTAAGGCCAAGACATAAGAGGATGACTAATATCAAAGTGCAGCACTTGATCATCATCGCGCAACAAAGAAGCTTGAATTTCATATTTGCAAAAAAACCATATTTTGCTATTATTTGAAGAAAAAGCAGTATCAAACGCAAGCTCTCGCTTTATTTCATCTAACTGATCAACCTGAAGCATAGGCTCCAAATAACCAGAATCTGAACATTATAAACCCGAAGCAAACTCCTCAAACGCCTTTGGGACGCCTGGCTTTTTATGCCTCGGATATTCCATATTATTTGATTTAACATTAGGAAAACAAATAAGGGAGAAATAAGTTTAAGCGGGCTGATCGCCGCAGCACCAAACCTTCCTGCGATCTTGCGCGTTCCTCGGATTTGCGGCCACGTTTCTTTGTAACCGTGAAGTCTCCCTGGACGTCCCCTTGCACCAGGACCTCATCCTTCTCACCCTCAGACCAGCTTCCCCTTTCATTCTCCAAACCAGCTCCGTGTAACCCGATTTCAGCATCGTCAGAAAAAATATGAGGAATCTCCGTCAAAGACATCAATGCTAGAACACGTGATTCAACATGATCATCAACCCGACATGTTTCCCCTACTTCCTTATTTGGGGAGTCTTCCACATAAACTGATTCGATGAAGTCCTCGTCGGGTCCAATTTCATCCTCTATCTCCTGAATCGAAGATAAAACCGAAAATCTATTCGTCCCCGCAACGGGCTGCACGCTAGGGTTTTGCGCGCAACCTGGTTCTACGGTTTGCGGTGGAGAAACCGGTAAGCTTGAAGCCTCTTTGGGCGGATCCTCTGCTGCTGTTTCCTGCACATCAACCGGAATTGTCTTCTTCTCCTTGGCAGAGAGTTCTGACGAAGAAGGTCGGGCTGTAGCTGCAACTGAAGCCGACGTTACGCCCCCTTGCGCATTAGGCTGCGCGCTAGGGTTAGTCGTGGCTGTCTCCGCGCTACGTTTTGAAGCCGCCTGCGCGTTTGAATCATTATCCTGCGGAGGATCCATCTTTTTGGCGCTATCAACAATCTTCACCGGAACTTTTTTCTTCTTGTCAACAGCCTTTTGGAGTCCAGCCCAGGAATCATCCATTTTATGGCCGATCTTATTGCACTTTGTGTAATAAGGCGGAATGTGTTCATAGGTGAAAATCTGGTCATGCTTCTTGCCTTTCTTCCCCACCTTCACAGATTTTGGGAACTCTTTTGTAAGGTCAACTTCAACGCAAAAACGCGCTACCAAAGGCCTTGTCATGTTGAGAGTAGGCGCATCCACCTTCAATGGCTTCCCAATCGCGGTTGCCATTGAAAAAATTACCTCCGGGTTGAGGAATTCAATTGGGAGATCGAAGAGGGAGACCCAGATTGGGACAATGGGGGGATCTTCCTCAAATTTGAAACCCGACCTCCATTTCAAAATTCTCATGGAGAATCCGGCGATGTTCCAAAACATTTTAATCCAGCATCTTTGATAATCCTCTTCCCTTTCAAATCGAATGAGGACATGCCTTGGATTCATAAGGCCAAGAGTATAGCCTCCATGGAACCCTAGCTTCTTGAATTCTTTGTGGACCTCTTCCATTTTCGGTCGACCATATGAGAACTTCCCTATTAGGCTCAATTGGTGTGGGGCTACCAATTTATCGTATTCATCTTCTTCATACTCCAAAATGGGAACACCATTAACAAATCGGACTTCCTTGACTAATGAGCCTTTAGCCAAAGGAGTGTCTATTGGCTTTTGGAAAAAACTCGCGAATGTACGAGGAGGTCCAGTGGGGAGCTCCTCGGCTTGTTCACCGGTTATGAGACCGTGAAACAAGTGCAAATTCCGGCCACTAGTACAGTGAGGGAGAGAACCGGCGAGAGAGAGAGAGAGTGCTTTTTTTTTTCTTTGAAAATATGCAATGTTTAATGTCAATGTGTATTGTTATTTTAAGTACCTTTAAAATGATTTTCAATTTTCAGTCCATATTTTACATTTCATCATAATTAATTAGAGATTGTAAATTTCATAAATGTATTATACTTCGGAAATTTAATCCTTCCGTTATATACTTAGAAAATTCCGGCCATTCACTTGGATAAAATAGTACCACACTTCATTAATTTAATTTTCTGTTAATTTAATTAATATATGCTAATTTAATTAATAAATTTAATTTATTTATTAAAATTAAGCATACGTTTAATTTTTTTAGATATTAAAAATAACAAACATAATTAATTTAATTTTATATTTGGTTATTCTACATAACTTAACAAAGATAAGACGAACGAACAGAAAGACATAAATATCCAGTCCAATCACCTTTACTAAAAGTAATAATATTGGAGTCCATGTTCTAGACTCCTGCTTATTCGGGGTAATTTGGTCATTTTGGCGATGGGATCGGATTTGTAACTTGAATATTTGTTTTTTTTTTTTTTTTTTTGCAAAGAGGGGGATCGGATTTGTTGAAGAACCGATTTACATCTTTATAGTATCCCATCCCCAAAAACTATGATGCTTATACAATGTTAAACTCACTCCATCCCAAGATAATTAAACCTTTATACGACATCTCTATAGTAATATTTCTTTATTTGATTTCCCTAATAGATACTATCTCTGTCCCAAAAGAATAGTCCACATTGAGTTTGCAAATTTGTACTAAAAATAGTACAAAATCCAAAACTGAATGTGGACTATGTTTTTGAGACGGAGGGAGTACTACAATTTATACATAACGACGGAGTGACATAAATAAAACAAAAATATTACTAACATAAATTGAAAATATGCAATGTTTAAAGTCAATGTGTATTGTTATTTTAAGTATCTTTAGAATGATTTTCGATTTTCAATCCATATTTTTTATTTCATCATAATTTATTAGAGATTGTAAATTTCATATTAATGTATTATACTTCGGCAATTTGATACTTCCATTATATATTTAGCGAATTCCGGCCATTCACTTGGTCAAACTAGTACCTCACTTTATTAAATTAATTTTATGTTAATTTTATTAATATATACTAATTTAATTAATAAGCCTAATTTATTTATTAAAATTAAGCATACATTTAGTTTTTTTTTATATTAAATATAACAAACATAATTAATTTAATTTAGTATTTTATTATTCTACATAACTTAACAAAGATAAGTCGAACGAAGAAAAAGACATAAATATCCAGTCCAATCCCCTTTACTAAAGGTAATAATACTGGAGTCCAAGTCCTGGACTCCAGCCTATTCGGGGTAATTTGGTCATTTTGGCGATGGGATCAGATTTTTAACTTGAATTTTTTTTTTTGTGAATAGGGGTATCGAATTTGTTGATAAACCGATTTACATCTTTATAACATCATATCCCAAAAAATTATGATGCTTATACAATGTTTAATTTTTACTCACTCCGTTCCAAGATAATTAGTGCTTTATACGACATCTGTATAGTAATATTTCTTTTCTTGATTTTCCTAAAAGATACTATCTCCGTTCCAAAAAAATAGTCCACATTGAGTTTGCAAATTTGTATTAAAAATAGTACAAAACCCAAAACTTAATGTGACTATGTTTTTGGGACGGAGGGAGTACTACAATTTATACCTACCGACGGAGTGACATATATAAAACAAAAATATTACTAACATAAATTGAAAATATGCAATGTTTAAAGTCAATGTGTATTGTTATTTTAAGTATCTTTAGAATGATTTTCGATTTTCATTCCATATTTTATATTTCATCATAATTTTTTAGAGATTGTAAATTTCATATTAATGTATTATACTTCGGCAATTTGATACTTCCGTTATATATTTAGCAAATTCCGGCCATTCACTTGGTCAAACTAGTACCACACTTAATTAATTTATATTTTTGGTAATTTAATTAATAAGCCTAATTTATTTATTTAAATTAAGCTTATACTTAATTTTCTTAGATATTAAAAATAACAAACATAAATAATTTAATTTTGTATTTCGTTATTCTACATAACTTAACAAAAATTACTCGAACGAACAAAAAGACATAAATATCCAGTCCAATCCCCGTTAGTAAAGGTAATAATACCAGAGTCCAAGTCCTGGACTCCAGCATATTCGAGGTAATTTGGTCATTTTGGCGATGGTATCGGATTTTTAACTTGAATTTTTTTTTTTGTGAATAGGGTATCGAATTTGTGGATAAACCGATTTACATCTTTATAACATCATATCCCAAAATATTATGATGCTTATACAATGTTTAATTTTTACTTACTCCGTTCCAAGATAATTAGTGCTTTATACGACATATGTATAGTAATATTTCTTTATTTGATTTTCCTAAAAGATACTATCTCCGTTCCAAAAAAATAGTCCACATTAAGTTTGCAAATTTGTATTAAAAACAGTACAAAACCCAAAACTCAATGTGGACTATGTTTTTGGGACGGAGGGAGTACTACATTTTATACATAACGACGGAGTGACATATATAAATTTCATACTAATGTATAATACTTCGGGAATTTACTGCTTCCGTTATATATTTAGCGATTTCCGGCCACTCACTTCGTCAAACTACTACCACACTTAATTAATCTAATTTTCTGTTAATTTAATTAATATATGCTAATTTAATTAAAAAGCCTAATTTATTTATTAAAATTAAGCATACGTTTAATTTTTTTAGAAATCAAAAATAACAAACATATTTGGTTATTCTACATAACTTAACAAAGATAACACGAACAAAAAGACATAAATACCCGGTCCAATCTTCTTTACTAAAGGTAATAATACTGGAGTCCAAGTTCTGGACTCCTGCTTATTCGAGGTAATTTGGTCATTTTGGCGATGGGATCGGATTTGTAACTTGAATTTTTGTTTTTTGTGAAGAGGGGATCGGATTTGTTGATAAACCGATTTACATCTTAATAGTATCCCATCCCCAAAAACTATGATGCTTATACAATGTTAAACTCACTCCGTCCCAAGATAATTAAAGCTGTATACGACATTTCTATTGTAATATTTCTTTATTTAATTTCACTAAAAGATACTATCTCCGTCCCAAAAAAATAGTCCACATTGAGTTTGCAAATTTGTATTAAAAATAGTACAAAATCCAAAACTCAATGTGGACTATATTTTTGGGATGGAGGGAGTACTACATTTTATACATAACGACGGTATGACATATATGAAACAAAAATATTACTCATATAAATTGAAAATATGCAATGTTTAAAACCCATGTGTGTTGTTATTTTAAGTATCTTTAGAATGATTTTCGATTTTCAGTCCATATTTTATATTTCATCATAATTTATTAGAGATTGTAAATTTCATAGTAATGTGTTATACTTCGGCAATTTGATACTTCCGTTATATATTTAGCAAATTCCGGCCATTCACATGGTCAAACTAGTACCACACTTAATTAATTTAATTCTCTGTTAATTTAATTAATATATGCTAATTTAATTAATAAGCCTAATTTATTTATTAAAATTAAGCATGCATTTAATTTTTTTAGATATTAAAAATAACAAACATAATTAATTTAATTTTGTATTTGGTTATTTTACATAACTTAACAAAGATAAGTCGAACGAAGAAAAAGACATAAATATCCAGTTCAATCTCCTTTACTAAAGGTAATAATACTGGAGTCCAAGTTGTAGACTCCAGCCTATTCAGGGTAATTTGGTCATTTTGGCGATGGGATTAGATTTGTAACTTGAATTTTTTTTTTTTTTTTTGTGAAGAGGGCGATCGAATTTGTTGATAAACCGATTTACATCTTTATAATATCTCATCCTCAAAAACTATGATCCTTATACAATGTTAAACTCACTCTATCCCAAGATAATTAGTGCTTTGTACGACATCTCCATAGTAATATTTCTTTATTTGATTTCCCGAAAAGATACCATCTCCGTCCCCAAAAAATAGTCCACATTGAGTTTACAAATTTGTATTAAAAACAGTACGAAATCCAAAACTCAATGTGGACTATGTTTTTTGGATGGAGGGAGTACAACATTTTATACATAATGGACGGAGTGACATATATAAAACAAAAATATTACTAATATAACTCGAAACTGTCCAATGTTTAATGTCAATGCGTATTGTTACTTTTAGTATCTTTTGAATGATTTGCGATTTTTAGTCCATATTTTACATTTCATCAAAATTTATTAGAGATTGTAAATTTCATATTAATGTATTATACTTTAGGAATTTAATGCTTCTGTTATATATTTACCAAATTCTGGCCATTCACTTGGATAAACTAGTACCACACTTCATTAATTTAATTTTCTGTTAATTTAATTAATATATGCTAATTTAATTAATAAGCCTAATTTATTTATTAAAATTAAGCATACGTTTAATTTTTTTAGATATTAAAAATAACAAACATAATTAATTTAATTTTGCATTTGGTTATTCTAAATAACTTAACAAAGATAAGTCGAACGAACAAAAAGACATAAATATCCAGTTCAATCTCATTTACTAAAGGTAATAATACTGGAGTCCTAGTCATGGACTCCTGCCTATTCAAGGTAATTTGGTCATTTTGGCGATGGGATTAGATTTGTAACTTGAATTATTATTTTTTTTTGAAGAGGGTCGGATTTGTTGATAAACCGATTTACATCTTTATAATATCTCATCCTCAAACACTATGATGCTTATACAATGTGAAGCTCACTCTATCCCAAGATAATTAGTAATTTATAAGACATCTCCACAGTAATATTTCTTTATTTGATTCCCCTAAAAGATACTATCTCCGTGCAAAAAAAAATAGTCCACATCGAATTTGCAAATTTGTATTAAAAGCAATACGAAACTCAAAACTTAATGTGGACTATGTTTTTGGGATAGAGGGAGTACTGCATTTTATACATAATGATGAAGTGAAATATATAAACCAAAAACATTACCAATATAAATTGAAACTGTGCAATGTTTAATGTCAATGCTATTGTTATGTTAAGTATCTTTAGAATGATTTTCCATTTTCAGTCCATATTTTACATTTCGTCAGAATTTATAAGAGATTGTAAATTTAATATTAATGTATTATACTTCGGGAATTTAATGCTTCCGTTATATATTTAGCAAATTCTGGCCATTCACTTGGATAAACTGGTACCACACTTCATTAATTTAATTTTCTGTAAGTTTAATTAATATATGCTAATTTAATTAATAAGCCTAATTTATTTATTGAAATTAAGCATACGTTTAACTTTTTTATATATTGAAAATAACAAACATAATTAATTTAAGTTTGTATTTGGTTATACTACATAACTTAACAAAGATATGACGAACAAACAAAAAGACATAAATATCCAGTCCAATCTCCTTTACTAAAGGTAATAATACTGGAGTCCAAGCTCTGGAGTCCTGCTTATTCGAGGTAATTTGGTCATTTTGGCGATGAGATCGGATTTGTAACTTGAATTTTTGTTTTCTTGTTTTTTTTTTTTTTTGTGAAGAGGGGGATCAGATTTGTTGATAAATCGATTTACATCTTTATAGTATCCCATCCCCAAAAACTATGATGCTTATACAATGTTAAACTCACTCCGTCCCAAGATAATTAAAGCTTTATACGACATCTCTATTGTAATATTTCTTTATTTGATTTCCCTAAAAGATACTATCTCTGTCCCAAAAAAATAGTTCACATTGAGTTGCAAATTTGTATTAAAAATAGTTCAAATTCAGAAACTGAATGTGGACTATGTTTTGGGGACGGAGGGAGTACTACATTTTATACATAACGACGGAGTGACAAATATAAAACAAAAATATTACGAATATAAATTGAAAATATGCAATGTTTAAAGCCCATGTGTATTGTTAATTTAAGTATCTTCAGAATGATTTTCGATTTTCAGTCTATATTTTATATTCATCATAATTTATTAGAGTTTGTAAATTTCATATTAATGTATTATACTTCGGCAATTTGATACTTCCGTTATATATTTAGCAAATTCCGGCCATTCACATGGTCGTACTAGTACAACACTTAATTACTTTAATTTTCCGTTAATTTAATAAATAATGCTAATTTAATTAATAAGCCTAATTTATTTATTAAAATTAAGCATACATTTAATTTTTTTATATATTAAAAATAACAAACATAATTATTTTAATTTTGTATTTGGTTATGCTACATAACTTAACAAAGATAAGTCGAACGAAGGAAAAGACATAAATATCCAGTTCAATCTCCTTTACTAAAGGTAATAATACTGGAGTCCAAGTTAAGTCCAAGTTATGGACTCCAGCCTATTCGGGGTAATTTGGTCATTTTGGCGATGGGATTAGATTTGTAACTTGAATTTTTTTTTTTTTTTTTTGTGAAGAGGGAGATCGGATTTGTTGAGAAACCGATTTACATCTTTATAATATCTCATCCTCAAAAACTATGATTCTTATACAATGTTAAACTCACTCTATCCAAAGATAATTAGTGCTTTGTACGACATCTCCATAGTAATAATTCTTTATTTGATTTCCCTAAAAGATAGTATCTCCATCCCTAAAAAATAGTCCACATTGAGTTTGCATATTAGGTGCAAAAAAAAGAAACAGTACAAAATCCAAAACTCAATGTGGACTATGTTTTTGGGATGGAGGGAGTACTGAATTTTATACATAATGACGGAGTGACATATATAAAACAAAAATATTACTAATATAAATTGAAACTGTGCAATGTTTAATGTCAATGCGTATTGTTATTTTAAGTATCTTTAGAATGATTTTCGATTTTCACTCCATATTTTACATTTCATCATAATTTATTAGAGATTCTAAATTTCATATAAATGTATTATACTTCGGCAATTTGATACTTCCGTTATATATTTAGCAAATTCCGGCCATTCACATGGTCAAACTAGTACCACACTTAATTAATTTAATTTTCTGTTAATTTAATTAATATATGCTAATTTAATTAATATGCCTAATTTATTTATTAAAATTAAGCATACATTTAACTTTTTTAGATATTAAAAATAACAAACATTATTAATTTAATTTGTATCTAGTTATTCTACATAGCTTAATAAAGATAAGTCGAACGAAGAAAA